CCACCCTAGTTTTATGTGCTTGATGTTTTTCAGTTTGGTATTGCCGGTCCTTCTCTCAATTTGGTGGGCTGTGTTGTTTCTGAGCTTTTTGTTGAGAATGTAACCCTAGGAGCCTAGGAGGTTCCTCTGGCACCATCATTCTAATAAAAATTTTCATTTGTTGATAAAAAATTTTTTCAAAAAAGGAAAGGGCTTGTGCAAGGAGGGTTCAGAATGGTTTAAAATTGGAGCCACATATCAATGTCAATGAAATTTTACGTAAGCTTATGTATATATATATATATATATATTATATTTAATAATAAATTATATATGATATAGAATCGTCCTCATATTTTTCCTTGACATTTCTTATTTAAGTCAAGATTTGAGCATAATGAGATCTCTAAACTTCTTTCTTTCCTGTTATACCCCAAAGTTTCCTCAATTTACAAGAATGTCTTGGACATATCTCGTTCGCCTTCTTAGCCCTTGAATACGAGGAAGGAAAGGTTCTTAAGCTTGTAAAATTGAGGGCATTCCATTGGGTTAAAACAAGCAAAAGAATCGGTGTAGTTTCAGTTTGTCAGATTGGTTACTAGAACCAACTGAGTACGTGTTTATGAATGCTAGGATTGGTGCCATGAGAATTTAATTAAATTCATTAGAGGGTGTAGTTATTGCACATATAATATCAAGATTAAGGTAACAAAGATTTGATTTTTTTTTTAAAAGATATTTGAAAATATTAATTTATTAATTGATTTTAATTTATTATTTAATAAAAAATAATGTTTATTCACTTTATCTTTTAAAAATTAAGAAGAAAAGTATTTCAAAACTACGTTATTTCAATAAATTCTTATTGAAAAAGATTAAAATATTTGATTTTTAAAAAATGAATTAGAATATTTTTTGTCTTCACTTATAGTTTTTTATTAAAACGACGTAATTTTGAAATATTTTTTCTTCTAAAGTAAATAAACACTAATCTTTTTAATAAATATAAATTATTTTATCAATTATTTGTTAATGATTATAATTATTAAATATTTTATCAAATGTGTTAAATAAATTTAATATTTCTAAAGATAATAATATTTTATAATTTATATAGCTATAATATTATTGTGTTAAACCATAACTATACTTATTCAATTGGTTGAAGGCGCCTTCCCCTGAAGATTCTCATTCCTTCTCTGTTTTGCTTAGTTTGGTGGTCCTTGTTGGATTTTTCACTAGTCTTTTGTTAGCTGAATTTTAACTTCTTCACTCCCTAAAATGAATAGTGGTAAATTGGAGTAAAATTTTGAAATCAAAATTTAAAATTAATAATATAATATAAGTCATATTATTTAAAACATTAAATTATAAATTTTATATAATTTAATAATTTATTTTTTTATTTTTTAAAACTTATAATTTTATTTATATTAACTTATTTAATAACTTAAATTATATTACATTACTAATCAAATTTTAATCTCAAATTTTAGCACTATTATTTCTTTGGTTTTATACCAGTTGAAAAAATGAATACTTTTCTCATTAAAAAAAACTACTTTTTTTTTTCCTTTTTTTTCCATGCAACGGGTACATTTTTTCGGTGGAAAATTGACACTCATCAATAAGTATGATTTGACTTGATCTTTCGTTTTTCTTTTTTAAATTTATTTAACTTGTGTAATTAGAATATATATTAAAAATATAATTAATATATTATGTAATTTTAACTAAGATAAAAATAATAAAAAATAATATTAATTTTTTTATTAATATTATATGTACCATTTTAATTAAAAAATTAATTAAATAAATATTAAAATTTATTTTTAAATAATAACTAATATTAAAAAATATTCTTAATATATATTCTAAAAACACATATTAAAATAAAAAATATAAAGAAATGCAAGTTAACAACTTGATATTGGACTAAGTTTTAGAAATTCCACGGAAAGAAGTTCAGATACCTTGTGAGGTGGGGTGGGGTGGGGTGGGGCCCCGAGTTATGGAATTTGCAACTTCCCTTTCACAAGCTCCAGTAATTGGGACGAAAACGGTGAAAATATTTACCAATGAGTGTACTTAGACAGTTAAGCACGAAACCATGTGAGGTGGGGTGGGTGGGGTGGGGCCCTGAGTCATGGAATTCGCAACTTCCCTTCCACAAGCTTCATCATTGGGACGGGAAGAGTGGAAATTTTTATCAATGAGTGGACCTACACAGTTTAAGCACTTGTCTAATTAGTGGAATTTCCGTGTGCTTTAAGAGCTGAGATTTGATCCATGCATTATCGGTTAGTTTGAGATATAAATCAAGAGTATATTAAATAATTTTTTAAAAAATTTATATTAAAAAATAAAAATTAATATTTAATTTATTAATTATTTAATTAAATTCACTCACTTACTATTAATACTAAAATTAATATTAATTTTTATAATTTTTTTATATATATTTATAATAAAAAATATTTTTAATATGTATTTTAAAAACACAAATTAAAAAAATCCATACATTAATACCGCGGGGCTGTGGAAATTCAGGGTTGGTGTGAATGGGATGACCTGTGGGATGACCCGATTCAGAGCATGTGAGGTGGGGTGGAGTCCTGAGTCATGGAATTCGCAACTTCCCTTCCACAAGCT